TAATCTATCTGCCCTTGATACATTGAGCAATAACAGTATTGTTATTTCTATTTCTTGATCTCATATTTTCTTTTTATTTACAGCATTAAATTGGGCATCCCCCAGCTGTTTTCAAAGTGCTTTAAAATTAAACGGCTAATTAAAAAATAGTATTGAAATAAAAACAAATAAAAAAAGCAAAACGAGCATAAGCTTGGAAGCAATTGCAATGTAAATGTGGATGACGTATATTTATGAACGTCTAAAAATGACATCTGTGAATTTTAAATTATCTTTAGATCTTTATCATATTATTCTTCAAGTTGACATGGAATATGTTTGAGACCTTGCCAGCATATCTCATGCATCTTTTCTGTTTTTGACTCAAGTATACAGGGTGTCTGCAGAAATTTTTTAATTTATAGTACAAAGATAAGTCCTTAGTAAGTCTAATCTGCTTTTCAAAGTTTTTAAAAATGCAGTTGAACTGACCTCGGAAAGAACTTAATATCTTTATCTATTTGTCACCAAGAACTCAATAAAATAAACACTCACAGGGATTTTGGTTAAACAAGCAAATTTCGTAAGAATTATGCTCTAAAATAGCTTTTGACAGCTGCATCAACCCATACATTAGCAAAAAAAGAACTAGAGATGCTCCAATCGACTGGACAGGAACCAAAATAGTCTTCTTTTTGTATGACTGGCCTGACTGGCGATTCTGCTGCATCCCAATTATTAATTATATTAGCTGTTATTAATAGTTCAAATACTTTTTTCAGGTTCTTTACTCTTTCTATATATAATAAATATTGTTAAGAATGGTAATTGATTAGTTGTGTGTTGGCTTTAAAATTATACTATACAATTGGCTTTAAATTTCGTTCTACATTCACCAGCCACTTAATTAGGTACACCTTACTAGTACTGGGTTGGACCCACTTTTGCCTTCAGAACTGCCTTAATCCTTCGTAGCATAGATCCATCAAGGTACTGGAAAATTTTGGAATTTCCACCACATCCCAAAGGTGGTCTGTTGGATTGAGAACTGGTGACCATGGAGGCCATTTGAGTACATTGAACTCAATGTCCTGTTCAAGAAACCAGTCTGAAATGATTAGAGCTTCATGACATAGTGCGCTATTCTGCTGGAAGTAGCCATCAGAGTAGGCTGTGGCTTTGACACGATTCTCAATTGGAACTAATGGGCCTAAAGTGTGCCAAGAAAATATCCCACACACCATTACACCACCACCAGCCTGAACCATTGATACAAAACAGGTTGGATCCATGCTTATATGTTAATCCGAATCAGAAATCAGAAGTCAGATATCGAGACTCATCAGACCAAGCAACATTTTTCCAATCTTTTATTCTCCATTTTTGGTGAGCCTGTGTGAATTGTAGCCTTAGTTTCCTGTTCTTAGCTGACAGGAGTGGCACCTGGTGTGGTCTTCTGCTATTGTAGCTCATCAGCCTCAAGATGCGACGTGTTGTGTGTTCAGAAATGCTGTTCTGCATACCTCGGTTGCAGTGAGTAGTTATTTGAGTTACTGTTGCCTTTCTATCAGCTGGAACCAGTCTGGCCATTCTCCTCTGGCATCAACAAGGCATTTGCACCCATAGAACTGCCACTCAGTGGATATTTTCTCTTTCGGACCATTCTCTGTAAACACTAGTGATAGCTGTGCGTGAAAATCCCAGTAGATGAGCAGTTTCTGAAATCCTAAACTTGACCATGTTTACACACCTAAATGCATTGAGTTGCTGCCATGTGATTGGCTGATTACAAATTTACGTTAACGAACAGTGGGACAGTGATATTATTTGATATTAAAAACAGCCCTTAGAAACCTGCAGATACACTGATATAATTTAACCAGTAACCAAAAATAATTCTTAATCAAATCTTCAGGGTTATTATTATTCTTTTTTTTTGTTGTTGTTGCCACAGCACAAACAGAATGTTAATCTTTTGTCCTGACTCCTTTTCCAGGGCTTCTGTCGGACATCCCAGACCCGGACGCCTTCCTGCAGGACCTGTTGAACTCTGTGCCCTGATGGCACCCATTTATGCACCTCATTCATGGACTGGTGAGCGCTCTGTCCAGTGCAGGTGTTCCTTAAACACAGAGTCTGTCCGCCTCCCGGACACTGCCAATGGCAACTCCAAAGGGACACCTTTCAATCGGGGCCCAGGCTCCCAAAAAGTTCTATCAGCTCGCATACACACTCATTCACCTCCACCTGTGCTCCTGACCTCCGCGTGGGTTCATTCAGTTATAACTCTCTCCTAAACATGAAAATGACATGTAGCCTGACGAGTTAATGCGCATTTATTCTAATAAAAACAAAAAATGGTTTTGTAACGGCTAACAAACACAAACGCACCATGCTGGTATTTGCAGGTAATTTTATTGGGAATTATTTCATCAACAACCTTGAAGGCTTTTATTTGTCCCTTTTTCGATTCCATTTCTCACTCGATCTAAAAATTGGCTTCAGATTCACTCAAATGAGAACTAATCTCTCGTTGTCTTGTTCTATGTTATTTTTTTCGTTTCATAGTTTGTTTTTTTGCAGTGGTGTTCAATGAATTGTTTGCAGTTTGTGTGAGAGACCAGGGCTGACACTGGTTTTGTGATGCGGTGCAAGTGTGTGATGAGTTTTTTTTTTGTTTTTTTTTCCATGTGTAAATGGTTAGAGTGAGATGAAAGCTTGTTTAGTGTATGATTCCCCCGTGACATGGAAATAATTTTCTCATTTGTAAAGGGTTTTACCTGCGTCAACAATGAAACATAAAGATAAAGAGAATAAAAAGGGCCTGCATATTTATTTTGGGAGCCTTTTTTCCACTTTGTTTTCTTTTCAGTTGGATTTTTTTGTGTGTTTGCTCAAAACAACAACGTGATACTAAATTTCTTTTTTGTTTTGTCTTCCATGTGACCGTAACTCACTGGGTAATATTCCGCAAATTAAACATTTTTTCCCAGAGCAAGTTGTGCCTCTGGTAAGCAAGGTGCCACTGAGAAGAGTCTCAGTGATTTTAAGTTTATTCTTACAATATAAACACACACACACACACACACACACACCTGCGAAAGGGTGTTCTTCAGCTGAATGCATGGTGTGAAGTTTGTTTAAAAAAAAAAAAAAAAGAAAACGAGAAAAAACCCAGTTAGTGTTTATTCGCCTATTCCCGCTGCTACAATGTTCAACTGTTGCTGAATGTCTGCTTTTTGAATTAGCTCAACTTAATAAAGCTGTAAGAATACCATATCTGGCTCAATGTGTCATCTAAGCACCATTGTTTTGGTATTATTTAAATAATATTATAGTATTTAATATTTTGAAAAAAATATAATATATTTGACAAATTTCTAAAAGTTTTTAATCAAATTCATTTTTACATTTCAGACATTATTTTTGTTAATAATTGAAGAAATGGAAAACACTGAGCAAATGTATTTGAGACACTAAGAAACCTGTCTGCAAAGCTGCAGTACTGTAGAAAGTTTTAGGCACTTGTGTGAAATTTTAAGCTGTAAAATGTGGATGCCATCAAAAATAATGTCATATACATTTATAAATTAGCATATAAGGTTGAAGTCAGAATTCAATATCAAGCCCCGCTTTGATTTATTATTATTATTTTTTATTTTATTTTTTTATCCAAACAATGTTTTACAGAGCAAGGAGATTTTCACAGTAATGTTTTTCTTCTGGAGAAAGTCTTTTTATTTGTTTTATTTTGGCTAGAATAAAAGCAGTTTTTAATGTTTTCCAAAACATTTTAAATGCCAAAAGTATTAGCCCATTTAAAATTCAGGCGGCTTATCATTCTGACTCCAACTGAATAAAATAAACTGCATCTACATTGAATTGAAAATAGCAGTGTTCTAATTATTCAATTATGATTGGTTATAGTTATAAATATAACATTTATTTGTGTATGTAGGAGATGTTGCCACAGTTCTCCTGGATTCAGTCTGTCTCTGTTTTCTGTTTCATATTATTCAAATATATATAGCATTTTAAGGGGTTTATGATACTACATTAGTAAGTAGTTGTAATCCATTTATGACCTGTAACTATTTTACATTACAACTTAAACTGCTTCAATCTTTGAATGCTTTGGAAATACCTTAAAAATGTGTCATTTCAAAAGGTGGAAGAATTTTATTTGTTTAAAAAGTACACAAATTATGTTTTAATAAGGCAATTTACCTCCTCTTAGCCTTTTGTAATATACAATACCTTTTTTTTTCTTTTTTTTTGCTAAGTCTAAATTTCTAAGTTTGCTTCCATTCTTTTCCCTCTGTTCTTAACACACATTAATAAAGACTTGGGCATGTGGCTTTCCTCCGGGTGCTCCAGTTTTCCCCACAGTCCAAAGACATGCAGGTGAATTGGTTAGGCTAAATTGTCCATAGTGTATGAGTGTGAATGAATGTTTGTGGATGTTTCCCAGAAATGGGTTGCAGCTGGAAGGGCGTCCGCTGCGTAAAACATATGTTGGATAAGTTGGCGATTTATTCCGCTGTGGTGACCCCAGATTCATAAAGGGACTAAGCCGAAAAGAAAATTAATGAATGAATGTGCATTTACTATATTTCATATTTCACAATGTGTTAACCCTCTTAATTTTCCTTTTTTTAATGTCGTAATAAGATTAAGCCAAGGAGAAACCCTTTAGCAGAGTCACTTTGGTGAGAATTTCATACATTTATTTTCTTTCTGGCTTACCGCCAACTTATCCAGCAAATTTTAAACATTCATTGACCAATTGAATATACACACTACGACCAATTTAGTTTACCCTATTCACCTATAGCGCATGTCTTTGGACTTGTGGGAGAAACCGGAGCACACGAAGGAAACTCTTGCCAACACAGGGAGAACATGCAAACTCCACACAGAAATGCCAACTGACCCAGCCAAGGTTCGAACCAGCGACCTTCTTGCTGTGAGGCAACAGCGCTATTTGCTGGTGAGCATTTCAGTTTGTGAATATTTTGCCAACAAGATAATTACATTTCATATGCATTCTGTAAAAATTAGGAAATCAAATATCATAGCAAGTTTCAAAAACCAATGTTTTAATGATGCCATACTCTAGGAAGTGATGGGAAATTTTGGTGGGAAAAGGTGATCTCAAAAGCATCAGAAGTCAATAGCAATTAATTCTGAGTGTTAATAGATTACTAATAAAAATGGTTAAAAGCTAAGAAAAAACATCTTTATTAAGATACTTTATTCAGATATTTATACAGATATTTGCTGAAGCACAAATCGATTTTAGTTTACAAAAGTTTTATAACTAGACTATCAACAAACCTAATATTTAATATGTAAATAATGTTAAAGCCACTAAACCTACTGTTATGCTCACGCCTTTTATAAAATGTAAATTAAGGGGCGTCTCTTAAAGACACAGTAACCAATGCGACTGTTATGGAGGGCGGGGCAAACACGTCTCTCCTCCCGTTTTCCTCAGGCTGAGGCTAGAGAGTTCCTCAGGCTTAAACCTGAGTCTTCACGGCAAGTTAAGGCAAACAACCAGCTCACTGCATCACCAGAGGATGGTCGGGGTGCAGCGGTGAGTTCATAAAAAGTGGACCGGTCACTGCCTTTAAGGAGCGAGCATGGCCTGTTATTTGTGTGACATTAGATAAAGGGAGTGCACCTTGCGTCCTAGAGCATGGACGTGTGACGTATGCTGCTTCACAGCATCTGCAGTCTGGTGCGTAGAAACGCTGCTCACGGATAAAGATGGATTTACCTCGTCGTTTTCCAGACCCGGTTCTCAACCCGATGCTGTTCACTGAATCCCCAGTGCCTCTCGGTATAAATGAAGCGTGCGCGGTCGGGAGCGGGTCTGGTCCCACGGCAACCAGCGCGTTGAGGAACGATTTGGGCTCCAACATTCATGTGTTAAAAACACTGAATCTCCGCTTCCGCTGCTTCCTTTCCAAAGTCCACGAATTGGAGCGCAGGAATAAGTTATTAGAGATCCAGCTGCAGCACGCCCAGGAGCAAGCCCGGTACCGACAGCTGTTTTCCCGGGAGCAGGCGGTCCAAACGAACCTCGAACAGCCTTATTCAAACGCGCAGTGTCAGTCCAGACTCCCCGGTAAAATCTGGAGCTTCTCGCACACCGCCAGGTACGGAGGGCGGTTCGAGACTCGCCAGGGGCCCGGAGTGTCCTGGACTCACCCTGACGGTGTCGGGGTTCAGATTGACACCATCACACCTGAACTCAGGGCCTTGTACAATGTTTTGGCCAAAGTCAAGCGCGAGAGAGACGAGTACAGGAGAAAGTAAGTCCTCTTAAAGCTTATTCCAAGAGTTTGTCTTTAAAAGGTGAGGATGTTCTTCAAGGAATTGTACTAAATATGTTACTACAACAAAACTCTGGTAACTTGATAGTCACCAGAGTCATATGAAAGAAGTGAAACTAAGTGAAAGCTTGTCACGCGAAGTGGAGATAGCTTATTAATTTATTGTGGCTTATCATTAAAACAAGTACTGTGGTGACTGCTTTGCTTTGGTTACCATTAGACTTTTTACATAATTGGTTGTTAATGGTCAATATCAATCAATAGAGTAAATATTCCATGTTTAGACTTGCATAAAGGATTCTGCTTTTGGTTTTAGACATTGAACTGAAAAAACAGCCAACTTAAATGCAATTGTGAACATTTTGATACATATAATAACCAATATTATCATTGTTATTATCAAAGACATACCCACATGCTATTCAAGATGTAGGTGAACTTCTTTAGCAGAGTACAAAGTAATTTTACCTGAAACTGTGGTCATTAGTGATGAAATGCAAGTTAGTGGCTGTGAAATTAACCAAGAAATTTCAGAACATAATTAATACCATGGCTCTTGATGATATAGGGTGGTTTAATGAAGTGAAACAGTCCATTATTTACAATAGGCTACTTGTAGCTTTAATCCAAAATGATTTTTAGCTGAAATCTACACATTCCCAGCTAACAAGGAACATTCTCGGAACTGGACTTATTTGAAGTTATCTTTTCTATAATGACATGAAAATAATCACAGTAATAATACTTTTATAATACTGTAATACATTGTTCATGAAATGTTGTTTTGCCAATATGTTATTTGGGCGTTTGAAAAATGAAACTTTCATATCTTAATAGCAAAATTAGCGACACATTTTTAGAATATAACGTTTGGTGGATGGGTTGGTTATCAAACACTGTAAACAAAAATGTTCCCTCTCTAAAAAAAACAAGAACTTTGCCCCCTGTGTGTTCATAGTAAACAAGAGTGTGTGTTTCCTTTCTGTTCTGCACGACTGTCTCCAGGGTATGATATTTTCATAAAGTTAAATAACAGTAAGGCTCTCTCGGTAACCCCTGAATTCTCTGCAGTATCCTATTGCAAAGTGTCCAGTTTGGGTATGAAACACGAGAAAGCAGGGGTGACATTTTATCTGACGGAAACCATTAGCTGTTTCTCTCCTCCAAATGGGCATCATTGCAAAACTTCCCATTCAATGGGAGTCTTTTTTCCCTTCAGGGACCAGTAAATATTAGTCCTTGCAACACTTTTTTTACCCATTTCATGTTGGTCTGGTTCATACATGGGGATTTCCCTCTGGTTATGTTATCTTTGAGACGTTTTCATGCATGTTATTCCATTCAGTGGCTGATTCAGCCATTTTTCACTTATGGAGGGAAAAAACAAGCGCATGTTGGTTTAGAAAATATATATTTTTAATGCCAAATAATGCTTAGTTTACATGTCTACTTCTGGAAGAGTGATGAACAAAACATTTGTGCCAAATTCCTTTTTTATATCAGTGTTAAATCAGTATTTAATTTATATGTTTACATTTATATCAGTGATGTGGGGCTCTTTTACTGCTCAACACAAATGAGTTATTGTAACTTTAAGGCATTTCCGGTCATCTAGTATTCGTGAAAGTGCCTTTGTGTTTTCCCAGACTGTTCCTCTTGGCTGTGTGTTCATTGTTATCTTAGTTTGTGTCAGTGGCTCTGCTGAAATAGTAATTTAATAGTCTGGCTATAGAAGGTCTTAAAATTTGGTCCGTGGAGGGTTTTTAGGTCTGCCAGAACAGATGTAGACTGTCTGTGAGAAGTAGAGGATAAATGAGCCACCAATGATTCATTTCCAAGATTTGAATGAGCTGGAAAGCCCGTTTTATAAAGAATGTCTTTATCCTTTGATTATTTACTACTTACGGTGGCCTGCAATGATGTTAGGAATTGGGCTATTTTGACATCCATAGTTTTCTATTTTAAGAGTTAATATTAATGGTGTTGCCAAAAAAGCCCACTCAGTTCATTTAAATCAGTGTTTCTCATCCACATTCCTGGAGGACCACTAGCTCTGCACATTTTCCATGGCGGTTTCTCAATTTTTTAAGAAAGGACTTGCGTTCTTGTGAAGACCGTTTTTGCCAGGTTATCTCGGAAGAACGAACTCGGGAGACCACGAGAACACAGATCCTGTCTTCTGAGAAATGAGATGCTGCGTTCTTCCTGATGATCACATGACCTTTACTCATTTTTATCAGAAAATTAATTAAACATTATATTATTTATACAACCATTTATTGTTTTTTCCCTTTTTTAATATATATATATATAACATTCACAAAAAACTTACAAATATACTTTGCACAGTACAAATAAAACAAATTTCAGCAAGTGTTTTGCTTTTATTAAGATTTTTATAATAATGTTTACTTTTACCGTCCCATTCAGAAAAACTCCTGAGATGAATAAGTTATATCTCTGAACTTTAATAATAAACATGTATAAAATGCTGTGCTTCCTCCTACTTTATTCAGCTGCAGCCAAAGTTTGGCGGTTGATGATGATGATGTTACACGAAAACACGAGGATGCAAGAATGCTGAAGAATGCATATTGAGAAACAGCCCATATCTCTTTAACCAAACACATCTGATTCAGATCATCAGCTCATTAGTAGAGACTAAAAGACCTGTAATGGGACATGCAGTGTTGGTGGTCCTCCTGGAACATGGTTAAAAAAACACTGTTTTAAATCCTGAAGCTTAATCAAATCATTAATTAAGAGTTTTACAAAATATTTTTTTAGTAACTGAAATGAATGACTTTTTAAAATATAAATTTCACTTTATTCAGTTTAAAATTAGAACATGCAAGTCAGTTTTTTAGAAAGTGTGCTATACTGTTCAAGAGTAATCTATGCCTTTTACATATTCTTTCTGACATTAAATAGTAAAACATTTAAGATTTTTGGAGCATTTCTGGAGATGTTGTTCATGTGTTCATTTCTTCATTTAGTGAAATGTTAGACTTCAAAAACTATAAACAAAACCATGGCATACATTCAAACTTGCAGAACCTGCACATTTAAATATCTTTTTGTGGTTTAATGTTCACAGAAATGCATTCATATCACTGTGATATATAAACAAATTGCAATCTTATTAGGTGCAAAGCTCTACTTTTTGTTTGATTGATGAACCAAATTCATCCAAATTTTGTGTTAATACAGCTAATTCAAATTTACTCACTGGATTCTGCTATTCTTTATTTATTTATTTATTTATTTGCAGGAATCATAGTGCCCTTGATAAGCAGTGGTATTAGATATAAATTAATAGTCAAATGTTTGCTTGCCTTTTCTTAAGTGGCCAACACAAAACCACCTTTGCTCTGCTGACACTTCTTGTTTGTTTTGGTTGTCAGATAAAGTATCACAGTAGCACAGTAGCAGCCGGTGGGTTGGGATGGATGTTGGGGGTCTGTTGTATTAAATGCGATCCGAGACAGGTGGAAAGTGTGGCATCAGGCACAAATGCAAACACTGTCCCTTGGGGAATTATTTTAAGATATTTAAACATGAAGCTGCTTTGTAAATTAAGTATGCATTTGGCAGCAGGCTGGATTATTTGATTAGCTTTTATTTTTTGAAGTACAAAACAAATTGGAGCCAAATTAACATTTTTTTACATCATATCTGGTTATTTTTAGAGCAGGGTTCCCACAGGGCATGACATTTCTGGAATTGAATGTAAACATGCACTGTTTTAAACTGTTAAAATTCATTCTTGATCACGTTTGAAGATGATTAATGATCACAGAGAGCTGAACAGATCTTTTAATCCTAGTTGCTCTACATCCTGTCTTGTTGATATGATGATTATACACAATACTACATAGACATGTTAACATGCAGCTGTCAATCAAATCGGTGGGCGGGGAAACTACATGCCTTTGTCACATTGCAGTTGGCCTCAAAATGGGAGGGATTTGGATTAGGATTTTTCAATCACCTCAATATAACTGTTCTGTCCAAACAGCTTAGAAATGATGATTTTTATTATGGGTGCCCTTTAAATTAGAAATAAGGTTAGGTCATCGAAATATTAGTCAGAGAATCTGACATTTTGCATAGAGTGAGAACCCTATTTTGGGGTCATAATTCTATTTATAAAGTGAACAGTCTTGTGCAAAAAACAATTAAAGTTGAAAGGGAAAAAAACATTCAGCCCTATTATCTTTATGTCTGTTAAAACAGCACAAAACACAAATCATCCCTTCACTGACAGCTTAAATATTTTAGGGAGCTTAACATATCTAGAGAATGGAGTCATTCTGCCCCACCCCTTGGAACGTTGTGTGCATTCTTCGCCCATCCTCCCGGTTCGTTGGAATTCATTGTCTGATTAATCCTATTGTGGGAATTCCATGGCTTTGATAGAAATTCAGGTTTATTAAATTGCTCTGGACTGCCGTAAAAGATGAATGTGCTCCTTTTATGTTGGTAAAGAGCCAACCAGAATCATCTAAGAACACAGAGTCACTTTCGGTTTTGCATATTACTTGAAGTGATGTCACGTTTGTAAACTCATTGATGTTTTTAAATTGATTGCTGCTTTTTGTGTGATTGAGAACTGGTTTTAAATCATTTTTATACATCCATATATCATATGAAGGTTATTCTGGCAGTCAGTGGATCATTTCTAAGCTCTTGCTTTATGATTCAACACATGCCAGATTTCCGTGAAATACTCTGGCTCAAGCTATAAACCATAGCACAAAAGCCATGCCTTCTGTAGAGGAACGCACACTTTCAGGAGGTGTTTTACGGCCCTAGCAGGCACTCTCCGCTGACCCGTGTGAATCGGGCTGAGACTTCTGTCCTGTTCTGGTCAAGGATTTTGACGGTAGCTGTGTGAGAGGTGAAGTGTTTGTGTGGCAGATCAATGGTGTGTGAACAGGAGGTAGCAGCAGAGTGAGGTCATCTCTCTGGGGAATGAT